TCTCCTCTTTGTATTTTTCAGGAGCAATTTGTAATCCCTAGGCAAATTTTACTTTACTTCTTCAAACATTCTTTCTAAAGTATTTACATTTGAATCATATAGCAAAATGTTATCTATGTAATGGTGAACTATAGATTCAGGAAATTGCTTATGTATCATTTCCAATGACTGACTTACAAAATATTGGCACAAGGTGGGATTCTTTAACATTCCCTGTGGGAGAATCTTCCATTGATATCTCTTAGCAGGCTGAGAATTATTATAAGTAGGCACTGTAGGCAAATTTTTCTCTATCCTTTTCTTGTAAAGGTATAGTGAAGAAACAATATTTTAAATCAGTAACTATAAAAGCCCAGACTTTAGGCAATAGGGATGCCAGCCTGTAGAGAACCAATTGGCTGAATCACCTTATTAACAGCTCTTAGATCTGTTACCATTCTCATTTTCCAGATTTCTTTTTAACAACATATACAGGAGAATTCAAGGACTTGTTGATTCTTCAATATGCTGAGTATCTAGTTGCGCCTGTACCAACTGTTCTAAAGTCTGCAGTTTCTCTATTGTTAAGGGCCACTGCTTAACCCATACAGATTGTCTTTCAACCATTTTAAAAGTAGACTGTTGGTGCCTTTGGAAGACCAAGGGCAGTTTTGCCCTGTTCTTATACAACGTGAATGGTCAGTAACTGTTGCTCTGGGAAGGAGTTTCTTCTACAATGGCAGGAAATGACTGAACTGGGTTTGGTATAGGTGCTTCCATGTGTCCCTTCACACACTTTCCCAACAGCAAAGGATTACCTTGAATATTCCTCATTGATCTACATTCATTAGTTCAGTGCCTGCCTTTACCACACCTTCTACAAAATCCAGAAGGGAGGGGCATTCTGAATGGATTATTCTTAGAAAAAAACATTGTTTCTAGGAATGTTCTGTCTACAATCCCTTTCAAGGTGACCTTGTTTGCCACAATTATAACATTTGACATTTTGATTTTTCCTCAAACCTCTGGAAATCACCTCTCCTATCCATGCATCATCATGGTCATGAGATCCAATATTAATTTTATCTTGACTCCATTCCTCCAAAGGGGCTGACTTTGCCTTTAATGGCCAAATTATCCTTTTGCATAGAGAATTGGCATTTTAAAAGCCAGAAATTACACTATTATTTGTCTAGCTTCTAAATTTGGTATAATTCTATCTACTGCTGAAGTCAATCTTTGTAAGAATTCCATAAAGGCTTTCTTTGGGCCCTGTATAAGTTTAGCAAATGACTCAATTTTCTTTCCTATTTTTCCAATTCTGTCCCAAGCATTCAAAGCTGCTGCATGGCATAAATCCATGGTCACCATATACAGCTTGCCTTCTATAGTAGCAGAATCTCCTTCTCCAACAATTGATTGTGGGAGAGTTCCCTACCTCTCGCTTTACTCCATTGTTCAATAATCTTAGCCTCTTCTCTGAACCAAGTTCTTTAATGTAATTGTGGACCAGGCTCTAAAACACCTTTAACCAAGTCTATCCAGTCTTTAGGGATAATTCAGTTACAAAGTGACCATGAGTGTGCTTCACAAATGGTGAATGCATGTCATATGAGACAATTACTTCATTGACTCTCCTTAAGTCTAACATTGGCACAGGAGTTCAGTTAGCTATAACAGAGCCTCTGCCATTTGGCAATTCCTGTAAGGTTACTTACATTAAGGTTGATTGTCTGAAAACCTTAGGCTGTTCCTCTCTATTCTTATAATGCAATGCTGAAATTGGCTCTCCCTTAAATTTCTCTATCTAGATTTAAATAGTGATCTGTTTTATTAGGTTTTTGAAAGGCCTGTATATAGATGGAAGTTTCTGTCCCACCTGGTCCCGCAACCATTCAGTTCCAAAGAAATACACAGAGGCTTATATTAATTATAAAGTGTTTAGCCTATTAACCCAGGATTATTATTAGCTAGCTCTTATCTAAGTTGAGCCACATGACTTGAGACCTTCTCTCAGTACAGCTTTCTCATCTTAATTCCTCTGTATCTGTCGGGTGACTGCATCTTTGACTTTCTTCTTTCCAGAATTCTCCTAGTCTGGTTGATCTGCCTATGCTTCCTGCCTGGCTACTGACCAATCAGTGTTTTATTAAACCAATATGAGTGACAAATCTTTATCTCGTACAAGAGCATTATCCACAGCACCTGTATTTTAGCACTCAGATTAACCAACCTTTTTAGTGATAAGACAAAAACGATAAAGTTGTTTACAATTTACATAAATCCCATCTAAATTAGATACCCTCTCATTCAACTATTCCATTTTCAAACTGTCTAGCACATTATCATAGAGACCCAAATCCCTTTGTTGTTTTTTTTCCCCATTTTTTAGTACGGAAAAAAATTCTCTCTTTAAACTAATTCCTCCCTTTAAGAATTCCCAATTGTCGCCGGGTGGTGGTGGTGCACACCTTTAATCCCAGCTCTTGGGAGGCAAAGGCAGGCAGATCTCTTTGAGTTCAAGGCCAGCCTGGTCTACAAGACAGGCTCCAAAGCAACAGAAAAACCCTGTCTCGAAAAAACAAAACAACAACAAAAAAGAATTCCCAATTGTCTTACCAGCTCTACTGATGATGTTGATGAGGATGTGAGGCTTATTGCTGCTACATAGAAGAGTAAAAACCTGAGGGTGTTAGGTGTTGGGGTGTTAAGATTCAGCCTGTGGTTTACTCTAAGTCCCTGGGTGCAGTGCCTAGCACTAAGTGGGGGGAGAGAACAGAGTTCACCACCACCCAGTTCTGCCCTACTCCGGCCACCTGCTGCACAGACCAAGGACATGATGATGCTACCATTAACTGTAAAGAAGAAAACACAAAGCCGGGCGGTGATGGTGCACGCCTTTAATCCCAGCACTTGGGAGGCAGAGGCAGGCAGATCTCTGTGAGTTCGAGACCAGCCTGGTCTACAAGAGCTAGTTCCAGGACAGGCTCCAAAAACCACAGAGAAACCCTGTCTTGAAAAACCAAAAAAAAAAAAAAAAAAAAACCCACAACTAGTCGTTTGTCTGGAACCCTGGAATCCCTTAACTCTACTTATAGTCTCAATTCTTAAGTTTTTATTTCATAGTAAAACACACACAAAATTACCATTTTAACCATATCGTGTGTGTGTGTGTGTGTGTGTGTGTGTGTGTGTATTACAGGATGGTCTCAAAGTCACAGAGATCCGTTTGTCTCTTCCTGGTGATAACTTTTTATTATTTATTTATTACTTTTTTCAAGACAGGATTTCTCTGTGTCACCTTGGCTGTCCTGGAACTCTCTCTGTAGACCAGGCCGGCCTGAAACTCAGAGATCCTCCTGCGTTTGCTTCCCAAGTGCTGGGGTTAAAGGTGTGCACCATCACTGACTGGCTTTGATAGTTTTTTAGTGTAGCTTTTACATTTGATGTTCTCCTAAAAATCTTCTTGAGGTTATCTCTTAATAATTCACTCCTCAGGCTGGAGATGGCTCAGCAGTTAAGAGCACTCACTGGCTTTTCTCCCAGAGGCCCCCGTTTCTGTCGCAGCCCCCACAGGCAGGAATCACTACAGCACACCGTGCACAGACAAATGAGTGGCTCAGTAGTTCATTCAAGTACAAATGTTTTTTCCAGAGGTCTTCTCTTAGAACTAGCAGTAGTTTCCTCCCCTCCTGAGCTGTTTTGTCTCTTACCCTGAAGCACTCTCCACTTTTCTGAGGTGAATGCGCTTACTGGCTTATGCCCTCTCTCCCCCTCAACTCTAAAATAAAAATTGTCAGGGAAGGATCAGGTCTGTCTACACTTCTCCACATGACCGGGAGTGTTTTGTCTGCCGTACTGTGCAGACTCCAATCTAAGGTTTCCCACTGAACTACACTGAGTCCTACAGAGCTTTGTGTGTGCGTTGTTCATAGGTCCGTGGGTTCCTTTATTCTTGTTCATTTGTTTGCCACAGGATTTCTCACTGGCCCGGAATTGTCAAGCAGGCTAGGCTGGTGAGCACCCATGTTTTAACATGGGTCCTGGGATGGAATTCTGGCCTTGTGCTTGCAGGATGAGCACTTCATTGGCTCAGCTATCTTCTCATCTTTTCTTTGTGTCATTACAAATACGAGTGAAATGGGATTCCTAGCCCATTGTACACTCAGAGAACTATCTCTTCCATAGGCATTGGATCGTTGGGCAGGTGGATTGCCTTTTCCCAGCGGATTCCCACTAGTTTCAGGACTAAGGGCATTTAAAACTACGTTGACATTAAGGAAATACTGATCCTGAAGACTAGCAGTATCAGCCGGTACTTAAAAAAAAAAAAGTATACAGTTCTGATCCAACGAGATGGCTCATACTATACCAGTCTTCGCTGGACACCTAAATTCAATCCCCTGAACACACAACAGTGGGAAGAGAGATCTCCAGATCTCTGACCTTCGTATGCGCTCCACTCCACCCCCTGCTAATAGTGTAAAAACAAACTATTTTTTTAAAGTAGTCTCTGCAGTTGAATCCTTACCACCAGCCAGACACCGGACGGAGGTTACGGCCAGTGAAGAAGAAAATAGAAAGCAGTCACCTGTTTGGGACGCTGAAAGCCCGTTTAACTTGCTTCATACAACTAGTCACGAGCTTGCAGCCCCGAGCCCCTCAGTTTGCTTTGCTCCCTTCGTTCTCCTTTAACAAGGGTGTATTTTTATAGCTGCCTGAGATAATCTCATTCCCTTCATTCCCTTCGCCCGTGGATCGCCACACCTACGGACAACGGGAGATTTCCTTACCGCTTTCTCCCTCCCCCTCATCACCCCCGATTTTCAGCCGAACACGTGTGAGTCGTGTGTACAGCACTCGGCCAGCCTTCCACTCACGCCACGCTCACAGCAAGCCCCGCCCCGCGGTCCCTTTCCAACTCGGCCCCCACGAATCGCGCCCGCACCCCCACTTCTCGCGAGAAGTGAACACGCCTGGCCGGACGGGAGGAAAGTATCTGCTCCGCTGAGGGGGGAAAGGAGGAGCAGGAGACAGATTGTGGGACCGAGCGCGGGCGGGCGGGAGGCGCCGGAGCTGCCAGCGGGTGAGTCCTGTTAACATTAGCTGGTCCGTGGTCTGACAGGAGGCTCCCCTTCTACTCCGGCCAGTCCCAGCGTCCCGGGCCGGGGTCTCCCCTCCCAGTCTGTGTTGGACGGGGGCGCTGAGGCGGTGGCCGGGCCTGTCTGAGGAAGAGGGTGGGGCACAGTCTAAGACAACCAATAAGAGAACAGGAAGCCACAATTGGCGGCCATGAGCGCTAATGGGAGATCGCCTTTACCTTGCGGAGTGCCGCCCTCTTCTCTTCTCCCGCCTCCTTCCTTTTGGAGGAAGGCGGGGCCAGAGGACTGAAGTGTGGGGAGAACTTGGGGTAAGTAGCCCCGGGGGGCACAGGGCGTGGCGAGGAAAGGGGGGTTGAATCCTGAGGGAAGAGAAGTGTAGTGGAAGTCAAATGGAATAGCAGAAAGGAATATCAGAATATCTTGGAATAGCAGAAAGCGGACGACTGCTAAACTAGGTTGACGGCTCAGGATTTCCCTTAGAGTGGGGTTAGGGCTCGGCACTGCAAAGAGCAGAGGTAATGGGCAGTAGGCAGGTTCGGGTGACATCCAGAGCCTCGCTCAGGTGAAAGCATGCGTTGATCGGCTGAAAAGCTCGTCGAGGTGGACATTGGAACCGAGGGTTTGGCGTTTCGATTGAGTTCATAAGAATCAGCAGAAACATGGTATCAGAAAGTATGGCTTTGGAGAGATTAAGTGGATGAGTTTAGGAAGACTGAGTGCCTTGAGTTGCTAGAAGGCATCGCTTCGGTAATAGTTTGGAAGTCCGGAGGGAAGGGGGAATATTTGGAGAAAAGACAGAGGCTGACATACAAGTCTTTAGCTTGGGTCTTAGTCGGAAGGCAGTCGGGATTTTGCTTAGTGATTTTGGTGGACATGGCACCCAGACCAGCCAAAATTCTGGCATAGGTGTGTAGAAGAAGAAACACATTACACTGCTCTTGTTCTCTTTTTTCCAGTGTTTCCCTTTTCAAGTGTCATCTCTTTCAAAACACAGGGATGTGGGTCTGGGACTTCGAAGGCCCAAGTTGGAGATCCGTAGGGACTTCCATGTTGCTCTCACTGGGGTGTTTACTACCCAGGCACCTCCTACCCAGATTCCCGTGTTTCTGCTTAGCGGACGCTGTTTTAATATCTCTCAGAGTTCATAGGAAGTATAGATTTGTGGAGATGTGCAGATTTTTTTCAGCAAACTCATTTGTTTCCTATGTTTAAATTTTTCAGCAGTATAATTTCTGTAGAACCTGTATATATCTCTAAACACTAACAAATAAAGTTTGTTTCCTTAAATATGGCTTTTCCCTTTCATTCATTAAGAGTAATTTAATGGATGATTGAACTTAGTCTTAATTGTCTTGTATATGTTCTTATGTATTAATTGAGATAGGGTCTCATGCAGCCCAGGTACACCTCAAACTGAGGTAACTGAGGTTGAACTTGAACTCCTGATCCTCCTTTGTTCTTCTCCCAAGTGCCGAGGTTATAGACTGAACACTCAGGGTCGTGTTTATGTGTGTGTGTGTGTGTGTGTGTGTGTGTGTGTGTGTGTGTGTGTTTGTGTGTTATGCAGCATGCCATGTAGCCCATACTGGCTTTGAACTCATAACCTTGAATTTGTGATCCATCTCTACCTCCCAAGTGTGGGAATTACAAGCATTCATTCCCATGCCCAGTTTATCAGTTTATGTGGTTTGAACCCAGGGCTTTGTGCATGCTAGGCAAGCACCTGTACCAACTGAACTACATCCCTAGTTCCCTCTTAATATTTTAAATGGAGTGAATAAAATAAATCACAGTTTAGGAAATTGAACATTTCCCCATGCTTTCTTTGCATCCAGACTTAGAAACTAAAGAGCTACCATAATATTTTAAGGCAGAGGTTGAGGAACTCTTGTTTTTAAACATGGGGGATGTAAAGTAAGTGGAAGCTATTGCGAAATTTAACATGACTGTAAGAAACGAAGCTAAAGAGAAGTTTGGCAGCTATATGAAGTAGTCTTACCAGTTCGTAATTCTGCACAGAAAAGGACAGAACATTGCCGTTTGTTTAGTAATTGTGTATCATTTAATAATGAGTTAGACTCATATAGCTCATTAATAACTTCTTTGCTAATGCACAGATTACATTCCTTCTGTCCAGTTGTGTGTGTGTGAGAGAGAGGGAGTGTATCTGTGTGTTGTCTGTGTGTCTGTTGGAGGCTGTGACAGTGCTGGAGCTGGGCTTTCCCCTGGGCTATGTGTATGCCAGGCAAGTTCTCAACCACTGAGTTTTAACCCAGCCTCCTTTACTTTTGAGAATTGAAGTACTACTAATGAAGAAGACCCCCATCCCATGTGGGGTTTGTTTGACCTTCTTTTCAGCAACCAGTTGAGGCATTTCCCCCTGGTTAGAATTTGTCCCTACAAAACTGTTGAGACCAACCAGTGGCCCTTTAGTACTAACATAGTCCCTATGTTAGCATATTACTTTAGTACTAGCATAGGGACTGAATTGGGTTCCAGCTGGGAGCATTTGCTACTGGACATTGAGAAGAATTTTCAGTTTTCCAGGCAATAGTCTTCCCCTCCCTCCTCGAAAAAAATCCAGTGAGAAAACAAAGTCTTTTGCTTTGGTCTTCCGATCTAGAATTTGTGATGGCTTGAACCTGAACACTCTTAAGTGAAAGATTTTTTTTTCTCTCTTGGGCAGTGTTCTCACCTGGGAGAAAGATAGACTTTGGGGCCTGGGTATGTGGCTCAACAGGTGAACGTTTGCTTATTATGGATGAGCCCTGTTACTACATAAAACTGGGCACGGTAGTGAGGACCTGTAATCCCATCGCTGGGGATGTGAAGGCAGAGCCCAATCATTGTTATCTATGTGGCCAGTATAAGTCTAGCTTGGGCAACATGAGACCCTGTCTCAAAGAAAAGCAAAAGAAAAACAAGAAGAAAAAAATTGATAATAATTTGTTAATTGATCATAAATTCTTCTGACTTAAATTTAAAGTCATACTAGTCAGCAAGATTGAGATTTTTTTTCCTTAATATTGAACTGGGCAGGTATAGGTGTAGAGAAAATGAATTGTTGGATTTAAATGGCTTTTTGGAAGGGAGCAGGAAAGTTTGATAGAGGCAGAGGAACTATCTTAAAGTTTATAGTAAATCTAAGCTTTTATAATTTATAGAATTTTTAAAATACTTTTGCTTAAAATGTTATTGTATCTTGTCCTTTTTCCTTTCCTAATTCTCTTTTTTGTTTTTGTTTTTGTTTTTTTCAAAACAGGATTTCTCTGTGCAGCCCTGGCTGTCCTAGATCACAAACTCACAGAGATCTACCTGCCTCTGCCTCCCAGGTGCTGGAGTTGACCCTTTCCTAACTTCTAACCAAAACAGTTATTTTTCAATCAACTTTCAGCACTACTCTTTTTGCCTTGAGTCCCTGGCTCTGCAACTCTCAGAAGGTTGTTTTGTGAATTTTTTTGTTTGTTTTGTTTTTCAAAGCAGAGTTTTTCTGTGTAGCCCTGGCTGTTCTGGATCTCACGGTAGACCAGCCTGGCTTTGAACTCACAGAGATCCGCCTGCCTCTGCCTCCCAAGTGCTGGGATTAAAGGTGTGTGAATGTAAGACTGAGCTTTTTCTAGGCTCTAGAGGGGAAAGTCAGTGTTGCCTCCATCTCCTGTCCAGGTGATAAGGAGGAGTTTTTTTTTTTCCTTACAAGGAAGTTTTAGGTGGAGCAAATAGCACTGTCTTTCAAGTGTTTAACAAGACAACTCTTTTCTTGGGACAGACTGGAACATAATTGCCCCATCCCTTGATAAAGGTGCCAACACAAAAGTGCTTATTTTGTTTCTTTGAGAAAAACAAATGAGATATTTGCTTAAAAGGAAAAATGTTTAACTATTTTTTAAATGTTAACTTCTTTAAATTTTTTAAAAAATGTTTCTTGGATTTTGCAGTTCTTGAAAAAGTCTTCCTTTTTCTCCAAAAACATGCTGCAGATGGGTTAGTGAGATGGCTTCAGAGGGTAAAGGTGCTGCCTGCCTATGCAGACCCCATGGCTTGAGCTATATCATTCTCAGACCTCACTCTGTAGACCAGGCTGCCTGTTTCCTGAGTGTTGGGATTAAAAGTGTGCACCACCATCACCCAGCTCACTTTTTAATTTTTTGTGTGTATGTGTGGTGCGTGTGTGTGTGTGTGTGTGTGTGTGTATGTGTATGTTTGGTAGGGGGTGTGTGCACAAAGGTCAAAGGAAGGCACTGGGTGTTTGTTCTATCACTTTCTTCTTTATTCCCTTAGACTGAGTCCTTTGAGCCTGGAAATCACCAGTTGGCTATGCTGAGTGGACAGTGAGCTCCAGGAATCTGATTCTTCTCAGTGCTGGGACTACAGAGGCATGATTCCATACCAGGCCTTTTGAATGGGTGCTGAGAATCTCAACTCAGGGGTTTTGCTTTTTGTTGTTTATTTATTATTATTTTTTTATTTATTTTTTATTTTTTGAAACAGGGTTTCTCTGTGTAACATCAGTGGCTGTACTGGAACTCTGTAAACCAGGTTGGCCTTGAACTCACAGAGATCTGTCTCTGCCTCTGGAGTGCTGAAATTAAAGACATGTGATAGTATGTTTTGGCTTCTTGACCATATATATACACACACATACATATATACACATATATACCTGTGTATATGTGTGTGTGTGTGTGTGTGTGTGTGTGTGTGTGTGTGAGTGTTCTGTCTGTATGTACAGATCCTATTAGAGATGGTTATGAGCTACCATGTGGTTGCTGGGAATTGTACTCAGGGCCTCTGGAAAAGCAGCCAGTGCTCTTAACTGCTGAGTCATATCACAAGCCCCTACTACTCATATTTTGTATTATTGATAAATTTGATAAGCATGATGACAATATTTTCATTTTGGGTCACTGGTAAAATGTACAAGGATAGGCTGTATTAACTCATCCAAATTACCCTTTTTCTCTTTTCCCTTTTCCTTCTTTTTTGTTCTTTCCTTTTCTCCCTTCTTTCTCTCCCCCCTTCCTCCTTTCTCTTCCTGACTTGAGAATGAATCCAGAACCTCCAATAAGGTAGGCAAGTGAATTTTATCCCCATGAAACCACTGAATTAACATCCTACCCCATAGCCTTTATGTTCTGTGAAATATCAAGAAGTGTCTTGTTGAAACTCAAATATGTTCTATTTGAGACATCCTTGAGTTCCTAGGCTGGTGACCATTGGATAGGGGTAGAGAATGAGAATATAAAGTTAGATATTGTAATTACTATTTACCTTTTGTTTGTTAGTTTTGTTCTTTCTTCCTGTGTGTGGG